GGAGGAGAGAGGAGGAGGAGGAGAGGAGAGGAGGAGAAAGAAAATAGAAATCCAGGCAAAGAACAACAGGGGTCAAAGTTAAGGCAGTCAGGACAATGGGGAGGAGGGGTATAAATTCAAAAAATATTAAGGTGGTTGAATTCTTACAAGCTGGTAGAGACCAGCCTAGCCGCAAGCCTCTTCCTATGGCAGGCAGGTGATAAGGCAGGATGGAAGGACGAGGAGGAGGAGGAGGATTGAGTCTGGACGTGTGGAGGTAGGGGTGCCTGTGAGATCCCAGGAGGAAAGGTCCAGTGGGCACAAGGTCCTGGGAGATCTTTCGTTGCTGCTCTCTCTCTCTCTCTCCAGAGAATTACCCACGGTCCCTGGGCCCTCTCCCAAGCTCTGCCCAGACAGAAAAGGGCCTCAGGCTTTACGGAACCAGATGGTCCAGCTACGACCTCCAGGAAACTGAGTGTTTCAAAGCAGTTTCAGTTTGTAGTAACCCTGTGGGGAAATAGAATGTCCCTGGAAATCAGTGCGTAATCCTCTATGCAGGAAAGGACACCAATAAAGCTTTAGATTGTGTATGAGAGCAGGTGTGTTTAAATTCTGCTCCATTTTCCACTCCATGTGACCCTGGATTGTGACCATGGCAACTTGAATTACCACATCTTTATTTCCTCACCTGTAAATGGAGGCCCATAGGGTTGCTTTGAGAGGTAAATTCGAGTGCATAGAAGGCGCTTGGACAGCTCCTGACACATGTGGAGGTTCATTGTGTGTGATCTGGTGTTGTTGTTGTCGTTGCTGCTGTTGTTGTTGTATTCACTTGTGAGAAGGGAACTAGAATGCCATCTTTAGAAAGGGCCTTTCTGGTCCAGGTACAAAGGGTGAGTGCAGGGAGGACGTGGGGCGGGATGAGAGCTGAGCAGAGTCAAGAGCCTTGTCAGGAAAATGGGAACATTGACATTTTGTGCAAAGAAGAGGTTCCGTGGCCTCTGGGGAAGGGGAGCAGGCAGCGCGGGTGCTGAAGGATGCGCATGCACACAGGCCTCTGGAGGCCCAACCTGCTGGAGCAGCTTCCCTGGGGGAAAAGGTGGTTTGTCACCAAGACAGTGAACCCTGAGAAGTGAGCCTCGGGGAACACCAGCCAGCTCCACCCATGGCTGTGCGGACACCAAGGCTTCTGAGGTCAGCTGCCAACGGTCCTTGTCCTGCCCACAATCCCTGATGGCTCCCACAGTGAGCCGCGTGACCACCAGAAGCAACATCAGCGGTCCCATAAGGCCAGAATCCTCAGAATGACTTGCTTTGGGGCCACATTGAGCCCTTGAGGAATCTTGGATGATCAAGAGGAGAGAGAACCCGCCGAAACCGGTTTGGCTCAGCGGTAGAGAGTCAGTCTGCAGACTGAAAGGTCCCAGGTTCGATTCCAGTCAAGGGCATGTACTTTGGTTGCGGGCACATCCCCGGTAGGGGGTGTGCAAGAGGCAGCTGGTCGATGTTTCTCTCTCATCGACATTTCTAGCTCTCTAGCTCTCTCCCTTCCTCTCTGTGAAAAATCAATAAAATATAAAAAATGAAAAATAGAAAAATAAAAAAGAGGAGAGAGAACCCTAAGCAGGCCACAAACCAGGCATGTGGGGACTCACACTGGCCTTATTCTGAGCTGTAAAACCAAAACCACGTGGCATCAAGTTCAGGGCCAGTTGGAATGGGTTGTGACAAAGGAGAAAGGGCACGATTGCTCATCCCGTCAGTGGGTAGAAAAGACCCTCCTCCTGTGGAATCCTTCAGCTTTCCCTCCAGCCCCAAATTCTGCTCTGCCCCCACCCCATCTGCAGACCACACGGCATCTCCCCAGGCCCCTCGGGTTCGGCCTGTCTCAGCAAATGGTATTTCAGAATCACTGACGTTGAGCTCAGATTCCACAGCACACTCCTTTCTGGGAGGGAAAAGCACGGGAACCCACATCACCGCCTCTGTGCTGGGCCTGGGCATGTCTCCTCACTCGGCTCTGACGATGCCAGCGGGAGTGAGGCAACTGGAGTGCAGCAGTGGGTGAGGAGCCACAGCCAGGCCACACAGTTCCAGGAGGGAGGGAAGGGGTTAACAATACAGTGCGTGGTTTGGTGGTTGAGCATTGACCTATGAACCCGGAGATCATGGTTTGATTCCAGGTTGTGGGCTCAGTCCCCAGTGGGGAACGTGCAGGAGGCAGCTGTTCAATGATTCTCTCTCATCATTGATGTTTCTCTCTCTCTCTTTCCCTCTCCCTTCCTCCCTGAAATCAATAAAAATATGTTTTTTAAAAACACACAATAATACAGGGCCGATTTTTGTAAATAATATCACTAACCAAGTCACCCTGGCTGATCTCTAAATCTCGGGGCAACTAGATGTTACAGAACTCCCCACTCCAGCAAGTTCACAGCTGAGAAATAATTAAATGAATTTCTGCTTCTCAGAAGCCAGAGCCTGCTCTGCTGTTTGAACTGAATAACTAAGTCTGTATTCAAGTGATATGAGAGGGAACAATCCCCTTTTTTTTCTAACTTGAAGAATTTAATTTAAGTTTTTTTAATAAAAAAACTGCTGCTCCCAGTAGATTAATGGCCCACTCTATCTTTCATATTAAATTAATTGAATGACCAGAATGGCTTTGCTGAATTTGAATGGCAGGCTCCAGAATTTAGCTCACCGTTCTTTAAGAAGGCATTAAGTGAGGAATCAAAACCATGGGGCCTGTATTATCATGTCTTTCCTCTGGGTTTGGGAGCTTTTTCCACTTTCTCTTGCCACGCAGCACATTAATTCACAATCAGGCCACGCTCGGCCAGATGATTTCCATTCTCCATCCCAACAAAACAGCAGCCCCGCCCATACACTTTCCATCTCATCGTACAGCTACGAAAAGAGAAACGCTTCACCAGAAACAGCTTAGAAAGCACCTTGGTTTCTTCCCTCTCATTTCACCCTCTCAACAAGACGCAACTCAAAATGACTGCCCCCATTTTACAAATGAGGAGGCTGAGCAACTGAGCAGACACTTGCCCGCAGTCACACCAGCAAGGGCAGAGCTAGGACCGGATTGCCAATGGGGACTGCCAGTCTGGGTCTCCTTCCCCCACCATAGTAGCCTCATAATTGTCCAGGGCTGCCCTGGCCAAGGAGAGACGTTCTTCTGCCTCAGAGACAGCGGCCGGGCACAAGCTGATAATAGCTGGGAGCTTCTTACAGAGTTTGTCCTGTGCTGCTGTCAGACAAAACTGGGATGTTAACTGTCCCGGACTTGTCCTTCGGACCACGTCTTCTCTTGGCCTTGCCCCAGAGTAGCTCACTGGGCCTTTGTTTCTTGGCTGATTTTCCCGCAGCTTCCTTCTTGTTGTCCTTGGGCAGCAAGCAAAACTCAAAAAGCAGCTGTGAGAGGGTGCAGGCTAGGCTGAGGGACCCCACCAGTGCACATCTGAGGCAGGGGAGGGATGCAGGAGGTTGGCCAGCCACGGAGAAACCGCTGGAGGGCTCCAGGGCGTGTCCAGCCCATCTCACTCAGTCCCAATCGGCGGACCCCAGCAGCAAGCTAACTTACCAGCCAGAGCATCTGCCCCCTGGTGGTTAGAGAACATCATAGCGAGCAGTTGAGCGGCCTTAGCATGTCATTAGCATTGATATTATGCTTTGATTGGTTGAATGGACAACCAGATGACCGGACAACCAGACACTTAGCATAGTAGGCCTTTATTATATAGAGGATATCCAAAACAGGCAAACTCATAGGGCAGAAATTAGATTCGTGGTTGATGTGTGGTTTCCCGGGTGTGGCAGGAGGAGTAACAGTGGGCACAGAGTTTCTTTTTGTGGCAATGAGAATGCTCTGGAATTAGATAATGGTGATGATTGCACAACTGTGTAAGTAGACTGTGATCACTGAATTGTATACTTTAAAGGGATTTGTACACTGTTGTGGGAGTTACATTTCAATTTTTTAAAAGTCTGAGTGATGAATCTGACGTATGGTTAAGAAAGGCTGAGGACCAGAGACCTGGAAGTGGACGTCACTTCCCATCTCTGCTCCCCCTGCTGTGGACGTGGTTCAGTGGTCTCTGAAGCGCACCATTGAAGCAGCCTCCCTTCTCATTCCCATGCCCAACCTCAGTCACGTCACTCCCCTTTAGAGGCTTCCCGCTGCGCACCTGTATAACGTGCTTTCCGTTTTCTGTATTTTCACGTTGGACATCTGGGACCTTGGGGCCTAGAGACACCCCTCCCAGCGCCAGCCAGTTCCTAAGGGTTATAAAGCACTGGCTTGCCTTCCCACATGCAAACCAACCCATCCAGAGCCCATGTCCCACCACTTCCTGTAGCTAGTTCTTACACTCTGGGTCACGATCCAGCTGCCCCAATATTACCCAGGGCCAGGTATCAGCCCACTGGAGACAGCTCCTTACCCCAAGCCTGCGGAAGCCATTCACACCAGCCAAGCCTAAGCCTGCTTCCCCTTCCACGGAATCCACACACAGGCTCTTGCCCCCATTCCCCTTCACCCCCTCTGCCTCCTGATTAGCCCTGGGCCTTCCCTGTGTGACCCTGAGTGGTGAGCCCTCTGTTTCTAGGAACCGGAAGTAAAAAGTTCTCCCTGCAAGACAGTCATTTCCGTGTCTGCAGGTCCCACCGACCCTTACTGCAGCAAGCCTGGGTGCACACCCACCACAGCCTCCCCTGACCCCACCTCCCTGTCTATCTACCTTCTCAACACCCATCACTCTCCAAGCTGCACGCCCGCCACAGACAGCGCCCTCTGCCCCAGCACACCACAGCCTTCATGCTGCACCCATGCTGGCTCCCCACCTTAGCTCAGAGCCCTCAGCCGCTGCTCCTTAGCAGGATAGACACCTGGATGGTTCTGGGTAAAGACCTTTGGCTGAGTGAACTGGACTGAGGCTGAGCAGATAAGCAAGTGGGAGGGGAGGGCAGGGAAGGCAGGCGGGTCTGGGCCCTGAGGACCACGCTCTACTCACACTGCTCCTCCCACTCGCGCTCCTCCTTCTCGCTGGCCTGGCTCTGCAGCTGGGCCTGCTTCAGCGTCCAGTACAGCTCCCTGGCCCTCTGCTCCTCCTGGCGGCGGATCTGCTCTTCCCCTCGTTTCCGCTCCTCTTCCTCTTTCCTCTAAAATGGGACAGAATAACGTTAGGTGACAGAGAAGTGCGTCTGTGAGTGTGCAGCAGGGCCACCTGAGCTGGATGGGGTGGGGTGGGGTGGGGTAGGATAGGGCGGGGTGGGGTGGATGGGGTGGGGTGGGATGGGTTGGGCCAGCATGGCCACTCCCGTCCCAGCATCTGCAACTAGAAAGGGCAATCATTACCCTAAGCATGCTGAGGTAAGGTCAAGTGGGTTGAAATATGAGGAACAATTTGTAAACTCCAGCTTTCTGCAAAGATAAGAGGATGCTGGGCCAGCCTGGGCCACACTTACATCTGGTCTTCCTAGAGGCTTCAACTGAGCAGGACATGGTCATGTCTTATCCTGATGTCTCCAAGAGAGAGCTGGTGTGGGGCCCCAAATCTCCCATTTTTGTCCCATTTTTAAGCCCCAAAAAGGTCGTGTGTGTGTGTGTGTGTGTGTGTGTGTGTGTGTGTGTGTTTTCCCCCATCTTTGTCTACATCAAAGTGACATATGTATGTTAGATATTCATCATAAGCCCAACCTTGTTATAAAACACAGCAATTCTCCAAATAACCTCATCCCAACTGACCCCCCTTGTCTGTGTCCTCAGGCCGCCATTTTCAGGTATTTCTCACTGTTCCCGTTTACATTTGTCTGAATAATGCCACCAATTCTTGACTTACTGATTGTAGACATTAATCACTGCCTTTCTGTTTTCGTACGTGAGCAGGTAGCACTTACACTTCCCAAACAGGGACACACCCGTACTTTCCCTCCCTCATCCACACAGTCAGCACCACAGTTTGTGGTTAAAGCAGTAAGCAGTGTAACCATGGCTCACCATAAAGCCAAACAGAGTGAATTTCCACCAATTCTACGAAGTACATTTCTTAACTTTCTAAGCAGGCCTCTGAAATCCCAAACCTCTCTCAGATATTTCTCTGTGTTTAACCAAGTGCTTTTTATTATATCAATTGTTACAGCCGTTATCTTTTTCCAAGGAACACCCCACCCCAGACACCATCTCACCTTCTTCCCTTATTTCACCTGCTTGCTGCCTCGGTCTCCGGTCCATCCCCCACCAGGACCCACCCCTCAGCCTCCCTGAGGTGAAGCCCTTGCTTGTTGTTCTACATTTTCTTTCTTGGCCACTTCCTCGTTTTGCAGCCTCAGAGCTTACAGAGCTTACACAAGTAAGGATTTTCCAAGGGACACTTTCTGAGCCTTGTCTGAAAGCATCTCTATGCTACCCTCACCTATCGCTGCTAATTTCGAGGAGCTCACAGAATGTGATTAATAATTGCTTCCTGCAGAATGTGGAAGCCTGTACCTTCGTGTCTTCTTCCACCCAGCACTGCCACTGGCATTCTCATTCTTCTGCGTAAAGAGTGGTTTTTCCTTTTGTCATGGACGTTCTGAACTTTTTCAATGAGGTGCCTTGGCTTGGACTGTCTTTGGTTGATTTGGTTGGGCATGTGAGATGCTTTCAGCTAGAGCCTCAGGTCCATCCAGCCAAACACATCTTGGTTGAGGGTTTCTTGGACAATTTCTTCTCTCATTTCTGTTTTTGCTTTCTACATCTCCTACTTGTCAAAAACTGGTCTTCTTGACTTGATCCTCTAAGTGCCTTATCATTTCCCTCTTGTTTTCCATCTCTTCCCTGGTTGATTTCACTGACTTTATCTTCCACACCTTCTACTGAATGTTTTATTTCAGCCCCTGCACTTGCAATCCCCAGGGCCTCTTTCTTATTCTTTGAATGTTCTTTTTTGCTTCATCGCACCCGTATTTGTTTCATGAATGCAATAGCCCATTTCTAAGGGTTTTGGCGTATTTCCTTTCCCATCTTCTGACCTACATCTTTTCCTCTGTATTTTCTTTTGGGATCTTTTTTTAAGTTTGTTTTATTTGCTGTCATTCATGCGGGAGGCTCTCCTCAGATGTTTCCTGACCCCATTCAAGAGAGAAAGTAAAGATCTGAATGGGAGACTCTGGAATGCTGGGTGAGGCACCAGCCATCTCACTGAGAAACCTTCCAGCATAAGAATCTAAGGGTCCTGCCCTAACTGGTTTGGCTCAGTGGATAGAGCATTGGCCTACAGACTGAAAGGTCCCAGGTACGATTCCAATCAAGGGCATGTACCTTGGTTGCAGGCACATCTCCAGTAGGGGGTGGGCAAGAGGCAGCTGATCAATGACTCTCTCTCTCTCAGCGATGTTTCTAACACACTCTCTCTCTCCCTTCCTCTCTGTAAAAAAAAAAAAATCAATAAAATATTTAAAAAAAAAAAAAAAAAAAAGAATCTAGGGGTCCTGCCCTATCCGGTTTGGCTTAGTGGATAGAGTGTCAGCCTGCGGACTAAAGGGTCCCAGGTTCGATTCCGGTCAAGGGCATGTATATTTGGTTGCAGGCATATTCCCAGTATGGGGTGTGCAGGAGGCAGCTGATCGATGTTTCTCTCTCATCAATGTCTCTAACTCTCTAACCCTCTTCCTCCTCTATGTAAAATATCAATAAAATATATATAATTTTAAAGAATCTAGGGGTCCTTTCTGAGGTTATTCAGTGTCCATCCCTCTCTTCTACCAGGAGGGAGGTTGTGGGCTGGACAGCGCTAGGACTCAAGCAGACTGAACCTCTTCATGGGAACACCAGGCTTTGAAGTGCCTCTCATGGAAATTTCCCCTCAAGTCTCACCAGGAGTGGCCAGAAAGACTCCTCCAGGGATTGGCAGGAGCAGCAGCTCTACACAGGTAAGGTGGTCCAAGTCCAGCCCACGTCCTGCATGAACCTAGTCCCTGCTTCTCCTCTCAGAGTACTCTTTGACCCTGTCCTCCATGCAGAGGGTTAACTGATGCCCCATGGAGCTGGGACTCATATCAGTGGAGTCATTCAGGGGCCCAGTACTCTGGCCATAGTTCCAGAACGGTGGCCTAGCAAGCAAATGAATCCTATGTAGCTTCTTTATCACAGGATCATATAAGAGGCTGATTTTATGTGGCTCAAATTGCATATATATATCTTTTTACATATATATATATATATGTAAAAAGATGCCACACAAAAAGTATTTGCTGACCTTGTGGACCCTAAGAGCAACCCTGGCTGCAGATCCCACTGTTCAGAGCGCAGACCTTGACTTAATCCTCCTGTTTCCAAGCTGCCCTCCCCTGCACTCTCCACTCGGCCTGACCCGCTGGGCCCCAAACTTTTCCCTTCCAGCTCCCCACCACTTTCTGGTCAGAGGGAGGCTGTAGTCACCCGGAAGGAGCAGTGCGCAGAGAATCAAGACAGGGTGAGTGACAGAGAGGGCAGGCAGCTGCCGTCGGCTGCATGACCAGACGTCCTCTCAGAAGAAGTGATGAGATCTGAGGCCTGACCATTAGCAGCAGGCTGCGAGCGAAGCTCATGGAGGAGAAACCTGGGGCCCAGGGAGCCCAAGTGCAGTGGCCCCAGAACTGCACATGGCTTGGCAGGTTTGAGTGTGTGATTACCTTCTGTGGCTGGAGGGGGAAAAGGCAACATTCTATTCTCGAGGAGTCTGCGATGACATGGGATGTCGAGAGGCCTAGTCAGCAGTGGGATGTGTGAGCCTGGGCTCCAGGGCAGTCTGGGGGGAGACACTGGCTGAGGCCTCTCTGCGGAGGAGGACACCTCTCAGCCACGGACTTACTGTAGCCGCTGAGAGAAAGGGTGAAGGCCAAGAGAAACACCCAAACTGTCCTGGGACACTTCTCCACGTAAACTCGAGAGGAAGAGTTGGAATCAGAAAAGCAGCTTGAGAAGGAGGCCAAGGCGTAAGATAGGAATCCAGAAGGGGCGATGTCTGCAGGCAAAGCCAAGAGAGAAACCATTCTGAGCGAAAGGGAGTAAAGTGAGCTGCAGGCTGCTGAGACATCAAAAAAGATAAGGACGAAGAAGCCACAGGGACGCAGGGACAGGCCACAGGATGATGTGGAGCGTGGGGAGGGCCATCCTAGTGGAGGGGAGGAGCACAGGTGAGCGGCAGAGTGTGGGGGAAGGGGGAGTAACTACAGACAACCTTGACCCTTCCTGCGAAAGGAGCAGAAACAGGAAGGAGCAGCCAGGGGGGGATATTGAAATGGGGTGAGTCAGGGTGAGTTGGTTGGTTTTAAGATGGGAAATACTAGAACAGAGAGTTAATGACTAATGCAAAGTGGGAACCAGAGTCCAACTCCAATGCAGAACACGTCGTTTTACCCCAAAGCATATTCCACCTTCATCGGTCACATGTCTCTATCCAAACTTCCTTTCATAAGAACACTGTGATAATGAATTGGGGCCACTCTAAAGACTTCACTTAATCACCATCCTTTAAAGACCTTATCTTCTAATACGCTTACATTCTGAGATTCTGATATATACTTTAGGAGGACACAATTCAGCCAGTAAGAATGAGACCGTGCCCCGGAGAAAGATCATGACTGGCATATAATGGACAAGTAGCATTTGACCACTCACCACAAATTACAAGGCAGTGTTCCCATTCCCACCAGCTGCTAACGTAAAGCAGCAAGTTAAAGGATAGCACCCACTGCCCCACCTCCAAGCCCCTGGCAACCACTGTTCTACTCCCCGCCTCTGCAAGGCCAATAGATTCAACGTATCAGTGAGGTCATGTGGTATTTGTCTTTTGTGTGTGGCTTATTTCATTTAGCATAAGGTCCTCCAAGTTCATCTGTGTTGTCACAAATGACAGAAGTTCCTTCTTTTTTAAGACCAACTAATATTCCATTGTATGTGTGTTCTGTATCCATCCATCAGTCAACATGTAGGCTGTGCTTGGTAAAAGGGTATAAAGGTTAGGTTATGTCAGATGAATAAATTCTGGAAATCTAATATACAGCCTGGGGACCAGTTAATTCTGTGCTATATACTTGAAGTTTGCTAAGGGAGTAAATCTTAAGTGTTCACCCCACACACACAGAAAAAAAGGTAACAGTTGAGGTGATGGATTTGTTAATTAGCTTGGCTGTGGTCA